ACTGAGAATCGCGCAAATATGTTATTACCTTTTTTTTTTTTTTTTTCAATGTTAATTCAGTATGGAATTTTTTTAAAAGGTAAAATTCATCTTTTAGCATACTGATTTACATATTGTTTTACTTTTGTTCTAAATGCTTCCTTGTCTAATGCATATAATTCCGATGCTTCCATATTTAATGGGTCATCAAAATTAAGAAGATCCTTAAAAAAAAAAAAAAATTATTTTAAAATTTGAAATCGTGTATGTAGTATGTAAATGAGGCAACAATGTAAATAATATATATAAAAATGGTTCTTTTTGCCCTTGAAAAAAGACTTACAGTGAATAATGAATTTAAACCCCAAACAACATCTTTCAGTCTTCGAGTAGGAGCCCAACCTAATCCATCTAAAGAACTTTGCCTAAGCAGGCTTAAACAAACAGCCCCATTTTCACTTATATTAGGATGCCATAATTTGGTTTCACAATGCACTAGCGGAGGCTGCAAACAAAAGATTAATAAAAATCAATTTACATATAATGGTTTATTGAATCAATAAATAAACCAAATTAACAAGTACCGCCATATTATATTCTTCGGTCACTAATATTTGAAAAACGAAACGACCTCCCATCCAAAACCCTTCGTCGGGTGACACAATAAGTTGAAAATCATGAAGCTGATGAGGATTTTCAAATCTTACTTTACAAGTAGGAGGTAGAGTTTGTTCCATTTCTTGAACCTCTTTGACAAGTAGTTGATCTCTAATTGATGGCCTTTTCTTGTTTTCTAAACTTGATGTACGATTAAGAAGAGATCCATCTTTTCTCAACTTTCCCTTAAGCGTAATCATTGTATTTTTTTCAAGTCATACTAAATTTTTTTAAAACTTATTTTTTTATTTATTTAATTTTAACTTGAAATAAGTTTAGGATTCGAATAAGAAAGGATATAATAATTAAATATGATGGATTTACTTGAGTAAGTAATACAATAACTCAACTGAATTGCAGAATAATAGTGGCAGACGAAATTGATTTTCCTCTAATTTGACGTGGTTATAGAATACATCTCTTAAAGTAACTAAAGTATTTATTTCTTTTAAAATTGTAATCTAACAAATTATAATGTTTATGATTATTACAGTTATTTAATTTTAAACAAAGATGCCTCCCTTTAAAAGAAAATTCATATCCAGCAATGCTGAAACGGACGAATCAAATACAAACAATGTCGATAATGAATCGGACGATCCTCATAAGATTGAGGTTAGTTAAGAATATCATGTGGTTTTTAAAACATATTTATTTCAATAAATTATTCAAATTACAGGTACGTACGGATTTTTTTTTAATAACCTTATATAATTATTTTAGGATAAAAATGGAGATTGGATGACAGAAGTTATAGAAAACGAAAATGATCCGTCTGACGATGATAATAATGTTGAATCAAATAATGAAAAAATTGTTAATGATGAATATGCCTTTGATTCATCGGATGAAGAGGTATTATAATAAATTAAAAAATCATTGTTTATTAGAAAATTTTCTGATTTATCATTAATGTTTTCATTAATTTCACAGGACATCAGAAACACTGTGGGAAATATTCCGATGAATTGGTATGATGACTACCCGCATCTAGGATATGATTGGGATGGTAAAAAAATTTTTAAACCAGAAAACAGAGATCAATTAGAAGAATTTTTGAGTAAAATGGAAGATCCAAACTATTGGTAAGTCTATAATTTCTAATGAGTTTTTTATAATTACTATCACTTTATAATTTATCATCACAAACTAAATTTATCTTTTAATAGTAAAACTTTTTATTTATGTTGTTGTGCAGGCACACAGTTAAGGATTCTCAAACTGGTCAAAATGTTATTTTATCAAATAATGATATTGATTTGATTCAAAGAATGCAAAGTGGAAAAATTCCTGATAGCACATATGATGAATATGCAGTAAGTATTTTATATTAGGTAATAAACGGGAAAAAAAAAAAATTTCAAATACAATTAAACTGTATTTTCAGCCCTGGATTGATTGGTTCACAAAAGATGTGATGAAAACTCCTTTAAAAAATGATCCTAATCATAAAAGATCATACCTTCCTAGTAAATCTGAACAAGAAAAAATAGCAAAACTTGTTCATGCTTTAAAAATGGGTTGGATCAAAACTGAAGAGGACAAAGAAAAGGAAAGGCAAGAAAAAAAACAACCTAAATTTTACATGTTGTGGAAATCTGATGATACATCAGAGAGAATGAGAAGAATTCACAATCATATTCCTGCTCCGAAAAGGCTTTTACCTGGTCATGCAGAATCTTACAATCCACCATCGGAATATTTATTCGATGATAAAGAAGTTGGTGTAATTTAAAATTAAATATGAGCTCATGAGTAAACTTGATTATAAAAATTCTTTACATTTTTTAATTTAAGTTAAAACAATGGAATAAGCAAACAAGACTGCAGCAGAAGCGTAAGTTACATTTCTTACCACAAAAATATAGTTCTTTACGTGAGGTTCCAGCATATGACAAATTCATTTACGAAAGATTTCAACGATGCTTGGATTTATATCTTTGTCCTAGAGGAAGAAAAATGAGGGTAAATTATTGAAGCTTGATATTTATTGCTTATTGTTAACTTAAATTTCATTTACTCATTTATCACAATAATTAATTTGCAGTTAACGATCGAGCCGGAAGATTTGATTCCGAAACTTCCAAGTCCCAAAGATCTTCAACCGTTTCCAACCGTTTTGTCTCTTATATATCAAGGTCATACTGATATGGTTCGAACTCTCTCCATTGATGCCAGAGGTCAATTTTTGGCATCTGGCTCAGATGATATGACTGTTAAAAGTAAATTCGTCGTTTTTATTCGTCAAATTTTTTATTTTTATTGTTATTATTATTAAAAACCGTTTTAATTTATTTACCAGTATGGGAAGTATCAACGGGTCGATGTTTAAAAACGATACACTGCGGTGGAGTTGTGAGATCAATCAGTTGGTGTCCAAGCCAATCTATTTCACTCATATTAATTGCTGCCGATAGAAAAGTTTTACTCGTAAATCCAGAAGTTGGCGACTTGTTAGTTTGTTCTAAAACAAATCATCTTTTGGAAGACCCTCCTGAATCGGATGTGATAAGTAAGTGTATATTTTAACTATAACCTAATCTGGTTAAATGAAAAAAAAATTTTAATATTGAATAAATTTATTTACAAGTTCCTGAAAGGGTGAAAGCAGTCGTACAATGGGAAGCAATAAATCCTACAAGTCAAGAATGGCTTAAAGGAATTCGAATAATAATTAATCATTTTAAAGAAGTAGTACAGGTTTGGAAAATTGATTATAAAAAAAAAATACAATTCGTTTTAGATTTTAAATTTTTTTTTTTTTATAAATAAATTTTTATATTTTGCAATTTAGGTTAGTTGGCACGGTAGAGGAGATTATTTTTCCACTGTTATGCCAGAGGGTTCTAATCGTTCTGTGATAATTCATCAATTGTCAAAAAGAAGATCCCAAATACCATTTAACAAAAGTAAAGGATTAATTCAATGCGTTTTGTTTCATCCTATAAAACCATTTTTATTCGTTGCCGTAAGTTTTCATTGTTTTCCTTTATTCTTAACTCCTAATTCTTTATTTTTTAAAATTTTTCTATAAACTCGTGGTGATTTTATTTCAGACTCAAAAAAATATTCGAATTTACGATTTAGTTAAACAAGAATTATTGAAAAAACTTTTATCTAATTCTAAATGGATTTCATCAATGGCGATTCATTCGGGAGGAGATAATCTTTTAGTGGGTACATACGATAGAAAAATGTTGTGGTTCGATTTAGATTTGTCCGTTGAACCGTATCAAACGCTCAGACTTCATAATCAAGCCGTTAGAAGCGTTGCTTTCCACAAGAGATACCCGTTATTTGCTTCCGGTTCGGATGACAAAAACGTTATCGTTTCTCACGGAATGGTTTACAATGATCTTTTACAAAATCCTTTGATCGTGCCGCTTAAAAGACTGAGTCATCATGAAAGTAATAATGATTTTGGAGTTTTTTCCGTTTTATTTCATCCAACTCAGCCTTGGTTGTTTTCAAGCGGAGCCGATGGAAAAATTTTCCTTTACACCTAAAAGTTAATAATAATCATTTTTAAAAAACGAATTTTTATTATGTTAATTTATTTCTTTCCCTTATAATGACTTTATACTGATCGCAAGAACGGCTAAAAGGTATTTATTTCTTTTTTTAAAGAAAGTAACATATAAAAGTTTTTATAAATAAAATAATTTATCAATTTTTTCTGTAATAGTAGATGATAATTTAGCAGAATCATGATAACCGTTACAAATGTTTAAAGAAATAAATTTGGCAACGTTGCATATTGACGTGTTATTGCACTCGGATCTCGATTTTTCAAAAAAAAAAAAAAAAAAAAAAAAAAAGAACTGTTTATTGAAAATGCCGGTTTAAAATGAAAATGTTATCGTTTAACTTTTACACAATTGTTTTTATTTAATTAATTTATTATTATTGTAAAAATGTTCAAATTGTTTTCTTTATCAGTATTTTGTTTTGTTGCTGTACTTGCTTACGTTACGTACACTATATGGACAGTAGCACAATTATTTATATCTCCTACTTGTTCTTCCCCGGAAAAATGTTTTAAATCTTATTTACACAATCAACCGAATCTTGATTTATATTTATTTAGTTCCGTAAATCAAGAATTAAATCATCATAGTCACGTACAATTAGTAGAATATTTTAAGGAATTTTCATATGAAAAACCTTGGGAGAAGTAAGTTTCAATTCTGATCAAAAACATTGTCATACAAATATTATTAAGTTTTTTTTATATTTTATCATTTACGTTAAAATAATACATTAAATTAATGATTAATTTGTTTTTAGAAAACTTTCTGTTGAAATTCCAAACTCGGTTAGAAATAATGGAAGTTTTTTCCTGCATTTTTTCACTGTTCCTTCTTCCTCATCGTTGAGTAATACATCATCTTGGTTTAAAGTAAAGCAAAATAAACATTGCGTTTATTTTAGAACTCGTTTAACTCAATTACACGTGCCTGATTCTTATATATTTAACTTGTTGAAAGAATCAGTAAGTATAATAATTGATTAAACTTTTTAATTCATAAAATTATAAATATTATATATATTTAAAAACATATTTTAGAGTGACTCGAAACGAGGAAATACTTTGGAGACGGCTAAGGATAAAAATAACATGAAACCAGTCATGCACTTGAAATCGAAAATAACAATTAACATGTTAACAGATCTTTTGTATATTCCTCATGCAAACATTCCTATTGAAATGGCTAATTTCATTAAATTAACTCAAGACAAATTGTTTTTGCCAATCATGACATATAATTTTTTAGAAACAAGATTGAGTGATTTGATATTGATTAAAAATTCTACAGAGGAAGTATTATTAAAATATTCACCTATTTATTTTGGTATGATGAATGGAAAGACAATTTAATTAGAATTTTTTCATAGGGGCTCAATTTTAAATTAAAATTTTCTTTTTTTAGGAAAATTACGTTTTATGGTACAACTTGAAAGTACAGTTTTAGCACTTAAAAAAATGGGTTTCAGTCCGAGGGATGTTGATGACATAAAAAGTTTTTTTGCAAGCACAAATTTTTATTTGTTATGCATTACAATTATTATATCATCTTTTCATGTAAGTCTATTAAAATTTTTTATCGAATATTATTAAAAGAGATTTTTTTTTAAATTCATTTATTTTTAGTTACTTTTTGATTTTCTGGCATTTAAAAATGATGTTTCCTTTTGGAGGAGTAAAACAACAATGGAAGGTTTGTCATATAGAACTGTATTATGGAGAGCTTTTAGTCAAATTGTAGTTTTACTTTATTTATTCGATGAAAAAGCTTCACTCATCGTTTTGGGACCTAGTGGAATAGGCACAATCATAGAGGTAATTATTTGTTTTATTCAATGAAATAAATAAAGAAAATCTAATAAAAAAATTCATATTTTGTAGATATGGAAAGTAGTCAAAGTAATGAAGCGAAGGAATTCGAAAGAATCATTGGATTCAGAAAAGCAGACGAATAAATATGATGCAGAATCGATGAAGTATCTATCATTTATTTTGTATCCTTTGTGTTTATTAGGAGCACTTTATTCATTGTTTTACCAACCTCATAAAAGTTGGTAAGTGTAATGGCATCACTTTATATTATTTTAAACAATTTTTGTTATTCTTATTTAAACAAGGATTTCATCATTTCAGGTACTCTTGGTGCATTCAAAGTTTAGTGAATGGCGTCTACGCATTCGGATTTTTATTCATGCTTCCACAGTTATTTATTAATTATAGATTAAAATCAGTCGAAGCTTTACCCTGGAGAGCTTTCATGTACAAAGCATTTAACACTTTTATCGACGACGTTTTTGCTTTTATCATAACAATGCCAACATCTCACAGAGTCGCTTGTTTTCGCGACGACATTATATTTATTGTTTACCTTTATCAAAGATGGTTGATATATATAAATTTATTTATATTTTTTTATACCGGAATAAATAAATTTTAATTATAATCTCTTTTTTTTCGACATTTCAGGTTGTATCCGGTTGACAAAACGCGCACAACAAGCGAATCGGCGGAATTTGTTAATACAAACGAAGACAAAAAGGAAAAAAAAATAAAATAAAAATTTCGACTGTGATTATTATTTTAAACAAATTCATAGGAATGAAAAATGAAAAGGATTTTCCTTATATGGCTACTAATTAAACATTTTTTTTTTGTTTTAAACGTTGTTCATGTGCAATTTTATATTAATAGGGGGGGAAAGGGGGGAAACTTATTATTAGGTTAAATTTCATTTAGAATGAATGAAATTTTGGATTTTGTTTTGATTTTGAAATTTAAAAATGACATAAAATAATCCATAAAATTTTTTTTTTTATATTATTTAAAAATATTTTCACAATAATAATAATAATAATATTTATAAAATTTGTTTTTTTTTTTATTGCGTATATATAAAATAACATAATTATTTTTTAAACAAAACATATATAAATATTTATTTATATATATATACATAATTATTAAATTATGGATGGATTTTTTTTATTTAACGCACATTTTAAAAATAAAAAAAATTTAAATAATAACATAACGACAAAAAATATATATATATATATATATATATACGAATACATATAAAATTTTTTTTTTTTTTTAAATATTTAAAAACAATTCAATAACAACAAAAAATTATGTAAATATATATATATATATATTTTTTTTCGCATCCCCCCTCTTTTTTTCAATACAGAGATTTTAAATGAATAAAAAAAAACCGTTTAAAAAATCTATTAAAAAATAATAATAATAATAATAATAATAAACAATTTTTTTAAAAAATTAAAAAATCGATTTGTAAATAAATAACAAAAATAATTAATTAATTTTAATGATTTAAAAAAAAAAATACGAATTGATGACTAGTCAAACAACCGAATCGTTTTATTATTAATTTATTTATTTGGTTATTATTATTATTATTATTTACTTACGGTTAAAATTAATTAATTAATTAATTAACATTTAATAATAAATTAATGATTAACAATTAAATAAAAAATTTGACAAAACAATAACACAACGAATAAATGCGATGAGATTCTCATAAACTTTTTCTTATTTTTTTTGTGTTTTAAATAATTCGTACAAATAAATAAATAAATAATAATAATGATAATAATTTAAGGTTTACCGTATAAGATTGGCTTTCATGTCCGTTCTGTCGTAACCGTCCGAATCGGAATCGTAATCAGGTTTTTCAAATTTTTTTTTATCTTTTTTATTTTCTTTTCCTTTGAAAGAAACTCCAAATTGTCCATCCGTGTGCTGTGAAATTATTTTTAAAAATTTTTTTTGTAATTTTTCTAACCATTTTTTTTTATTTTTATTTTCAGGTATCTTACCTTGACGATATTAGTCCTTGGATTTTCATACTGATGAGAACCCGGTACCAAATTATTCGGATAATTATTTTCCATTTGAGACAAACCGAACGATGGATTGTGAAAATGTTTCGTTTCCAAGAAAATGTTACTGTTTCTTTTTCTTAAATATAAATACGATGCCAATATGCCGCAAATGATCAACATGCTCATGAGTACGCCGATGACTGCCGAACTGTTTCCCGACAGCGGTGGTTTCTCATATGCCAGGTACTCTTTTGTATCATCTCCGATATACCTTTAAAATTTTTCATCGTTATTATTGTTTAATAGTTGCTTTTTTTATTTTAAACATTAGGTACCATACCTTGAAGATACGCGAACCAACGTATTTGATACTACGCAGATTTCATCTGGTGGTACGACGGATCCGTCTTGACAAACGCATTTTGGTCCAGCCAATGTAAAAACGCAAATGGATGATGAATCGCAAATGTTCGAACAAGGATTTCTCACTTTTAGCAAAACAAAAAAAAAACCGACATTAATCAACAAATGTTCCATTGTTAAAAGGTAAGAACAAAAATTTTATTATTATTTTTTTTTTAATCAATCAATGGGGGGGGGAGGGACTTACTTTGAGGTTGTCGAGCTTCTTGCATTATTGTTATCATTTTGGTATCGTAAATGTACAATGATATATTGTCGCAATGACCTTTGTGCTCGCCGTACAAAGTGCATTTTTTTATTTCTCCTGAACCTCGAGTCAACCAAACGAGTGAATCTTCAAAAAATGTCAAACTTTCGGGTCGGTGTACCTAAAAGAAAAATGTTTTTTTTGAAAAAGTTCGCGATTTCTCTCGCGAGTACCACCGACCCTAGGGTTAACATACCTGAGATTGAAACACGATTTGTCTTTGACTTCCGTCGAATCGAGTTTTTTCAATGACTTGATAATATAAATCGGACCAATACAAATACCCTCGTATGCGATCGACGACCAATCCGCTGACCCAAGTCAAATCCGTCGAAACGAGAAGCGTGGAATTTTGTTCTTCGAAAGAATAACTGAGAATTTCTGAAACGGGACGTTGAAGAACGGACGAACGAACGTGAGAATAAAATAAAAGACCGGAAACAGGTTCGATGACGAGATTCGTGATGAGGGTGTCTGGAGATGCCGTCAATACCGTCGATTGTTTTTTCTTTTCCAGGTTGCAAACTTTTATTTTGTTCGGTTTCGAATTGTCGATGTAAAAAATGTTTCCCGTGAGCCAATCGTAAGTGACTTTGCTGGGTCTGTCCATGCTTTGTAAAGAAGTTTCTTGACTTGTCGTTACGTCCAAAGCGCTAATCTTACCGGATGAACCTGAAAATGTTAAAATTATAGAGGGAGAAACTCGTATTAAGTTTTTTATATAAGGAAAATGAAAAGAAAAATTTACCAGACGCCCAAATAATTCTATTTTTTCTGGTGTCCACATCCAAACCGACAATTTGAGCTCCAGGTTCGAAAACTAAAAGATCCATTTGATTGAAATTGTTTGAAACTTTTCGAATCTCATCGTCTCCGCTTAAAATGAACGACATTCGTCCTCCTGAAGAAGAAGAAGAAAAAAAATGTTGATAACTGCTAATACAAAAATTTATAAAATTGATAAAAAAACTTTTTTGGGGCCACCATCACCTTTGGCTTTACACGTCACTCTATCGGATTTTAAAATAAAATCTTCTGCACAGCTGCAATTAAACCCTCCTGGAGTATTATGACAAATTTGAGAACATTTTTCTTCGGCGCATTCATCTATGTCGATGCAAGAATGTCCGTTTGCGCTCAAAAAGTATCCTTGTTTGCAAGCGCACCTTGCTGAAACCGGAGTCGGTGTACAAATTTGTTCGCACGGATTACTTTTACACGACAGGCCTGCAAACATTTAAAAAAAAAAAAAAAAATTTTTTTCTAATAGCTCAACGCCGGAGTTATTTGATTTTTATTAAAAAAATTTTCCTCACCGCAATTGCCTCCTTCGTCTGAACCATCTTCGCAATTTTTATGACCGTCGCAAACTAAATGCATGGGCAAACATTCACCGGATTTGCACGTGAAATCTTGACAAAGTTGAAGGAATCCGACCGAACCAGCACGACGAGAACATAATTCGGGATCCTCATCGGAATTATCACCGCAATCGTTATCCTTATCACAAAGCCATTTGTTAAATATGCATTTGAAATTTTTGCATTGGAATTCCGTTGGCAAACAATTGGAACAATCAGTTTCATCTTCTCCTCTCGGACATTCGGCGGTTCCGTTGCATCTAACAATCAAATTCAAAATTTTTTGGATGACGTTCTACTCGAGTTCCCCCCCCCCGCCCCGCTCCCCACGATAATAATACCTACCTTGATTTTTGTGGCACACACTTTGGATTGGCTTTACTGCAAAGAAATTCATCGGCACCGCAGTCGGCCTCGTAGTCATACACTTTACATTCCATTTCGTCTGTTCTATCCCCACAGTCATTTTCCCCATTGCAAATCAATTTGGGTGATATGCAACGACCGTTCCCACATTGGAAGTCAAGAGTATCGCAAGTTGTCATTTCTTTAAGATAAAAAATTTTGTTGTTACAGAAAAGACACGTTGATCCACACGTGGGGATTTGTTTTGAAAAAAATCAACTTACGACATTTATCATGTTCGTCGCTTCCATCGACGCAATCAATGTCTCCGTCGCATTCCCATGACTTTGTTATGCACGTTCCTGTTTTACATTGAAACATGTTCGAACCGCAAGTTTTCGTGCCGCAATTGAGTTCGTCCGAACCGTCCAAACAGTCTTTGACGTAATCGCATTGCCATGATTTAGATATGCACTCGCCGGAGTTACAGTGAAAATCTTCACCTGGTAAGTACATCCATTTTTTTTTTTTTTTTTAATGGGGAAACATTTTCGGAAGCAATCAAACGTATAAAATTACTTCGATTCTTACTTTTACAATCGGTTTTACAGTTTTCTTCATCGCTGCCATCGGAACAATCGTTTTCCCCGTCACATTTTTCTATCATGGCTATACACTGACCGTTTGTACATTTAAATTGATTTTCCTTACAATTGTTTATTTCGCAGTCTTTTTCATCGTCACCGCTCGGACAATCTTTATGTCCGTCACACCTGAAATCGTAAATAAAAAAATTTTTTTTTTTTTTTTTGGATTTTAAAATGAGGGGAGGGGGGGAAAGCGAATTATAACCTTTGAATTCTAGATATGCAAATATCATCATTTCGACATTTGAATTGATTATCGTTGCAAAAAGCGTGAGATACGCAAGTTCGATTGTCTGAACTTAAACGCATGTTTAACGGACACGCACATCGTCCGTTATTATTTATTGTTACCAAACACAAATGACTACATTCGTGATGAATGTAAGATTGGCAAGGATGTAAATTATGCGATTCCATTTCTGTGATTGATGCCAAACTACCGGGATAATCATTTTCCATGTCTGAAACAAACAAATTTTCCATTTTTCTTTTTCCTTTTCACAGCTTTCCCATCCGTAATGTAACAAAAGAAAAATTAGCAAACCTAATTTCAATATGCTTTTCTCGTGCGAATAATGATTTTGCCATCCTTCCATGTCTTGAAAATAGAAAAAGGTTGATTTTTGATTGACCCACATTAAGAGACCGCCTTGAGAAATCATAGCTCCAGGATTTCCTTCTGTTACTTGAATAATTTTATGATTGGATCCGTCAATCTAAATTTAAGAGAAAGAAAGAAAAAGAAGGAAAAATTTTGGAAAACTCATATGGATATATATATATATATGAAAAATTTCTTACGTTCATAAATTCTATAACTTCTCTTCCAGAATCAAACCAGAAAACTTTTTCGATTTTTCTATCGTATGACAAAACAACTTTGGGTCCGACAATTTTCGTTCCAGTCATGTGCGGTATGACTTGCGTACCGTCCATGTTTGTTCGCTTTATGAAAACGCTTCCTTCTTTTTTAGTGACGGCAATGAAAATGACTTCGTGATCGGGTACGGCCACGACGCTTTGCGGTATTTCTCCTTCCACGGCTCTAAACACGGGCAAACTGTATTTTGTCGACATGCTGAGTACTTCGACTCTTAGTTTTTCCTCATCGCAAAAATACAAATTATTACCCAATGAATCGAAACTCATTGACGTGACTTTACCTATTCCAGAACCCAAGAGAACGCTCTGGAAAAAAAAAAAAAAAATTCGTAATGGTTTCCCCCTCTTTCTCTCCCCCCCCCCGAGTTGAAATTAATTGTAAAAAAATTCTCACGACGTATTTAGTTCTCATGTTATATAAGAAAATTTTTTTCTTTCCAGTATCGCTAATGATAAGATTTCCAGATAAAGAATCAAAAGCCATGCATTCAATAGTATCCACGTGATCTGCTAAATTCAATTTAATTTTACTTTGTTTTCCCAAAAGTCTCGGAGTTATGAAATTAATGTGAGTTTTTCCAGCGACGACAACTTGAAGAGGTTTCGTTACTCCTGGAAATTTTCACGATTTTCAAAAAAAAAAACCTCATTTTCGTGCACAAAACAAACAAACAAACGAATGCTTACTTCGACAAGAATGTAAATCGGGACCGAGATTAAAATCCTGCGGGCAAGCACACTTGTACGTGTTGTTCGGTGCCAAAAGACACATGTGACTGCAACCATGACCCAAGCATGGATTATTGATTCTCGGATGAAGAACGGAGTGATAAATGTGTACCTAAAATTACATAGACAAACGATGACAGGTATGGAAATATAATCACACGTGCACACGCGCGCCCCATGGGAAAACCACGTTCGCGCGGTTTTTTTTTTTTATTCTATGGACTCACTCCGTATATGGAATGTTTTGTTTTTTCTCCTTTGCTATGTTTTTCTTTTATCAAAGAACTATGATTTTTCCCCGTGAATTTATTACATTTTTCAATTTGCATGTTTTCCCAATCTGACCAGTAAAGCATGTCTTCGAAAACGGCTATCGAAAAAGGATGTTGAACGGCATCTTTCAAAACAATCTAAAAAAAAATAATAAAAATTAAGGTACGAACAAGGAGTTGCAAATGGTGTTTCTTTCCCCCACCCCCCAAGAAAATTTCATCGACTCACCTGCCTGTCAGAACCATCCAATCTAATACTTTCTATATTTGTCGCTTTTGCATCGACCCAATACAACCGGTCGTTACTTATGTCCAAAGCTATACCATTCGGCCATTCAATATTTTTATCGACTAATGTTTTCGGATTACTTCCGTCCATACCGGAACAAGCTATTTTGGAAAGTTTTCCCCAGTCCGTCCAAAACATCATCCTTAACAGGTGATAGAAAAAAAAAAAAAAAAAATTTCGAATTTAATTTTTTCGATTACCCCCCCTCCCCCATTTAAAGGCTAATACACGAACCCTTTTTGAGGATAGAGAGCAATTGCTCTCGGTTTATCTATATCCTTGTTATGCAAAACGGTACAGGTGGCATTTTCGGTGCAGACTCCGATGTGTTTTTTTTCACCGTCAGTGAAATATATATTTCCAGTCACGTAATCGACAGCCAGATCTTCGGGCAATCCGAAACCTTCGGAACACACAAAAAAAAACCTCAATCTACGCATACCTTTTTTCTGATTGAATTTTAGTCGGAAAAACAAATTACCTGAATCAGCAATGACGACTCTATTACTTCCATCTTCGTTGCTTTTTACTATGGCAGCCTCTGCTTTATTTATTTCTGTCCAGTAAACTTGATGACCGTTATGCGATATTCCTATGACTCGACTTTGCTCGGTCGGAACCGAAAAATACAATTTGGATTTCAAGTAAACCCCACGGATCGTGTTAAGGGATGAAAAAAGCAAAAGGGCTTCTCCTCCTTTATAAAAAAAATGTATATAAATTTATGTGCCAACGATACGTTAAAAATTATTATTATTATCTACCTTTAGCTTTACACGTTCTATTATCGGACATCAAAGAATAACCATCGTCGCAATAACATTGATGACCACCAATAAAATTCCTACATTTTTGATAACAATAACCAAATTCTTCGCATTCATTGATGTCTGTGAAAAAAGGGAAAAATTATAAATAGACGTCGCCATTTTTTTTTCCTTTCATTTATTTCCGGTTGAATTATTTGTCGAGTTCAAAGAAGAAGAAAAAGTTGAACAATTACCGATGCATTTCTTAAGCGAACCATCTAATTTGTAACCCTTTGGACAAGTGCAAAATATATTTTTGTTGGGTGCCAAGTGACAATCGTGCGAACAACCCAAAACGGATTTACAATATGACGAATTTAACTTTTGATCTTTGGCACAATCAATTTCATCCGAATTGTCAAAGCAATGAGGAAATCCATCGCAAACGTGGTCCCCATCCAAACAAACGATTCCGTCGGTGCAAAGAAAAAGTCCCAATTCTTTATTGCAATGATCCGTTGAATGAAATTTCATTGCTTAAACATTTAAAAGAATTAAGACAATCAAAGACGGTTCACGGTCGAAAGAGAAAAGAGTGGGGGGCCATCACCACCACCACCACCGTCACTACTTACTGCAATTTTCTTCGTCCGAATTGTCACCACAATCGTTTTCACCATCGCAGTGAAATTCTTGTATTATGCAGTGATGATTTTTACATTTAAATCCACCATGACAGTCCAACTGTATCAAAAAAATAATAATGATAATAATAACGACCAAAAATCCTTTAAATAATAATAATAATAATAAAAATTTTTATTTTTTAGTTTACCTTGGTACCACAACCGACTGTTTCATCACTTCCGTCCAAACAATCAGGTTGTCCGTCACATACCCATGTATTTTGAATACAATCTTTGTTTAAACATGTAAATTCATCCGGAGAACAAGTTACGTTTGTTGCTTAAACAGAACAAAACATTTTACGTCATTTTCCATTTCTTTCTTTCTTTCTTTTTAATACGGAAAATTATTTATAAAAGAAAATTTTCATGAGGCTTACATTTAAATTCATCCGAATGACCATCAGCAGTACAATTTTCAGGTTCGTCGCTGTGATCTTCGCAATCGTATTCTCCATTACAATATAAAAGTGAACTTAAACATTGTCCATCTTTACATTTAAACCATGTTGGGGAGACGCATTTTATATTTTTTTCACCTGACGTACGAAAATATTAATAATAATAATTTGAGGGTCAAATCAAATTTAAATTTAAATTAAATAAAAAAACTTACAATTTTCTTCATCTTCGGCATTATCGCAATCGAAAAATCCATCGCAAACTTTATCCTTGGACAAACATTTACCATTTAAACATGTAAAATCATTATTATCGCACTCTTCCGATAAACCAATAAATATTAATGATAATAAAAAAAATAAAATGATATTAAAACATCCTCCTCCTCCTCCTCCTCCGATGCCCATGATTATTATTTATTATAATAAAAAAGAAGGATTCCCAAGGGAAAAAAATTTTTTTTTTTTTTTTGGTTGTAATGTCTGCCAGGTTCGGACGTTCGATTTAAAAAGACCGGAAAAGAAAAAAAATTTTTTTTTGTGGATGAAACCTGACAGAAAAATACCTGTCGGCTCTTGTTTCATTTTTTTCAATTATTATTTATCTATTTATAATTATAATTTTAGGCGCGTTAACGAAAAGACATTTTCTTTTTTTTAAATAAAATTCGGGAGACGGACTTTTGTTTTTCCCAATTCCAGAAACTTCTCCAAAATATATAAATAAAAAAACGAAATAGTTATGGCTTTAAAATTTATTACCGGTAATAAAATAAAATAAAAAAAATCTTCGAGTTTAAACTTCATTTTATTTTTTTTTTTTAATTTGGGGAGGTACAAGGTGGGGGGAGGTGTTAGGGAATTGGGGAGTATGTGGGAGGTATCGGGAGAAACGAAAATATTTTTTTTTTTTTTATAACGAATCCACAAATAATTAAATAAGAAAATATTTAAGTATCAATATTTAAATTTTGTCAGTGACGTCATCAAAATTTAAATTTAATAATAATATGCTTCTATTAGGTATTCAAATTCTTATCACACAAACCTTTTTATTTGTAATAATAATTAAAAATTATAAACCTGGATTTGAAAAGAAAACTAATTTTTCCAAAACCAAAATGATTTTCCGTGTTTTTAAAAAACAAAACGGGAGGGGGAGAAAAGGGAGAGGGTAAGGGTGAGGGGGAACAGGACAGGAAAGTTTGGATATTTTATTTTAAAAATGTCTGCCTGTTTGTGTGTATAATTCAAAAATAAAAAAAAATAAAATTCATTTAACGATTTTAGGTTCTTCGGTTCTTCTTCTTCTTCTTTATTGAACCTTAAATATCTTTTTGTAAAAAAAAAAGAGAGAGAGAAAGAGAGAAAAAAAAGGTACGCCGACATTTTTTTTTCTTTCTTTCTTTTTAAATATGTTAAACCCTCCTTCATTTATTTCAAACTTTAAGGATTTAGACCTTGAATTCAGGTAGATTTTTTTTTTTTTCTTTTTCCTTTTTTTTATGCCAGATGATGAGTATTTATTGGTTTTAAACTTTTTTTTTTTTTTATATTTTACACACATTTTAAAATATTATTTATAAAAAAAAAAATTAATTATTTAAACAATTTCAATTGTATCAATCAAACATTTTCATTAATTTTTTCTTTAAATTTTCCATTGCTTTACCTCCTCCCCCCCCCCGAAAAAAAAAAATTCATTATGATATTAAACTTACCCAAACGTTCCTTTAAAAAATAATAATAATAATAATAATAGTATAACTTTAGTTTTTTTCTACAAAAAAAAAAAAAAAAAAAAACACTTGAGAAGAACATGTCGGTGATTTTTTTTTTTTTTTAAATGATTTCCTTTAGGATTTGATTAAATCCAGATTTTTCCTGTTATTCCAGAATTAATGGTCGTCGTATTTATCGTTTCCAAAACAAAAAAAAATCATCTTTTCTCTATTTTTTTTGAGAAATTATAATAAAATAAAAAAAAACTATTTTTTTTAATAATGAAAAAATGTTGCGTGTGTGCGTGTGCGAGTGAGCGTATAAATATTTGCAAACAGGAAAATGTACTTAAAATTTTTCTTTTTTTTTTTTTTTTTTTTTGTGAAAAACCAAAAATCCAGTCAGTTTCGTTACAAAAAAATAATAAGAAACAGTACGAGAAGAAAATTTTCGAATCAAAAACTCTAAGAGAAGTTAAGTTAGATAATATTGAAGTAGAAACAGCAGAAGCAGTAGACAGGGATGACTGATGAGCCCCCGGGGGCACAAAACTTTCAAGTAGTTATAATACTATGAGAAAAAAAAAAAAAAAAACTTTTTCTTTTTCTCCTCCTGGAAAATTTATCACTCTAATATTTTCCCTAAAATAAAGTTTTTAATGCATTGCGTTAACTACTATAATACTTTTTCTTTCGAATTGTTTTACTGCCCCCCTTTCCTACTCTTTCTCCTCCTCTCCCTTACCACCGCCTTTATTTTTTAATCATTTCCTTATTACAGCAAAAAAAAAGAAAAAAAATCGATAGGTGGTATATTTGATAATGTAATCGAGTCGATGTCAGGTATCGCTTTTAATCGCAAAACGATTTCGCAAAATGGCGATTGTTGATTTCACCAAAAAAAAAAAATTCGTTTGCGTTTGCAATGTAAAAATGATAAAGCACAAAGAAATCCGAAAAGTAATTTAAAAAAAAAAAAAAAAGTAAGATTGAGATCCCAACCCGGAGAATTTTTAATACCCTTTTGTGCGTAAAAAGGGTTGCACCACCATTTTTTTTTTTTTAGATTTATGACTTAGGGGTAGAAATGCAATGATTTCTTCGAAGGAACTACTGAATGAAAAAAAAAAGCTCTAAATTATTTTTTTTTTGTAATGGAAACAATTGTAAAAATGAAAAATCAACCACCCTTCCTCCCTTCCCCTCTCTCCCCAATTAAAAAAGAGGGTAATTCAAAATTTTTTGTAACTCTGCATAAAAATTTTCCAAACGAAAAATTGGTGGCAGGTATTAATATCAATAAAATTCAAAAGGTTTTTTTTTTTACTTCGAATTTAATTTTGCGCCCCCCTTTCCACCCTCCACGCTCTCCCTCTTCTTCCCCCCAAAAACAAAAAAATTACCCTACGGTTTCATTCTCCTGCATTTATTTTTATTTTTTTCCTCCCCATTTCCTCCTCGATACTAAAAACTATCCCCTGAAATTGATGGATGTTTAAGGGGAAAATTTGAAATTAAAGGGGAATAAATTTTTCCTTTGAATTTTCCTTTTGTTTTTTAATATAAAAATCATTCAATGGAAAACAACAAACAAATTTTTTTTTAAAAATTTTTTTCAATTTCCATTGGATTCTGTAATTTTCCATCACAAAATTATTAAAGAATCGATGGGGCGGGGGGTGGGGGGCACACGTGGTTAATAATTATTATTATTATTCGCGAATACTTTTTTATTAAAAAAAAAAAAAAAAAAATTTTTTTGTCTTTTTGAATTTGTTGATTTGAATACCTTTTTTAAAGCAGGTGGTGGTGGTGGTACATAATTCAATGCCAGTATTTCCGGCACCTGGTGGTAACCAGACCGAACCATTTCGATGGTATGAGAATTTTTTTTTTTTTTTTTGTAAAATAATAATAATAAAGGCGGATAATTTTTTTTTTTTTTTTTTTCAATTTTTACGATGAAATCCCACTCTCTGAGAAAAATGATCTATTCTCTAGCAAAATGCCGAGGGAATTTTCACCCCTCGGAATCATCCCCAAGGGAGGGTCTGTTTAAGATGCAACAAGTGTGTGTATGTGTGTGTGTGTGTGTGTATCGCAAGGCTTCTTTTTCAAAACCTTTCCTCTCGAACCTCTCCTTTTTTTTAACATTATTCACTAAAAGAAAATAATAATAATAATTTTTTCGTTGCATATTATTGTCGTTACAAAAAATTTTTCTTTTTTTCCAGATCTTTTTTTTTTCTTCCATTTTTATTTTATTTTTTTTTCGAATGTAATATTTTAATAAATTAATAAATTAATTTTATTTTATTAATATCGTTACGTTTAAAAAAAAAAAAAATCAAGTTTAAATTTAAATTCCGTTTTGGAAAATTTTGGGAAAATTTTTTTTATATATTTCGCCTGACTTATCACGGACATAAAAAAATTTTTTTTTTCTTCGTAATATTAGCTGAACGTATTTATTAATAATTAAATCGATAAAGTACAAACCTTCTTAGAAATCCGTTTAAAATAATATAAAATGATGTATTTCATGTAAGTAATTTAAATGTTAAAAACTTTCATTTTAAATTTTATATTATTTTGCCGCGTTTACAATCGTTGTTGGCTGTTTTCCAAGTACCATAAGTTTGCTTGTATCAATGGAAGATCGTGAACATAAAAAATTTTATTTAAACTTATTTCGAATGTTATAAAGAAAATTTTTTTTTTTTGAATCTTGTTAATATCTTCGTTTATTCTTGACATTCTATATTAACTTTTAGGTACATGATAATACAATCGCGTAATACGTAGAATTTGTTTACAAATTCTAACGTACGAGCAAATAATCATATTTATGTTTTGGTATCGTTTTTTTTTTTTTTTTTACGCCAGTATAATGCATTTCGGTTATTAAAAAACTCGCCTATAATTTGTTAGTACATTTATATGCCTAGTTATTATTATTTTAGCGATTTGAACAATGAATACTATTTAAAAACTAAAAATATTTAGTTTTTCATGTTCGTATACGTGATTTTCTTTATCAATGTTCAACAATACATACAGATAAACAAACTTGAATTCGTTACTGGATTTTTTAATCTGAAGAAATAAAAAAGAGGAAAAAAGAAGAAGAAAATCCATTGGAAAGAAAGAGATAGATAAACTTGTTTGTTGTTGGAAATGTGGCAACACCGGAGTCTAGAGACAAGGCAACCCTCGTTGATAATGAAATATCTAAATGACGTTCACGTTCATAAGCTAAACATGCGGAATTATAAATTAACAAAAAACAAGTTTATCGTAAAAAAACAGAAAATTACGTTTTGCACTCAATTTAAACGTAAGTCTTTTTATAATAAATAAATAATAGTAATTTTTTGAAAATAATATTTTATATTGTTACAAGAATAGAGTTGAACATTTGAAAAACGTTAAATGACGGCGCTTTTTTACATTTTATTTTTTTATTATTTTTTTTTCATTTTCCAGTGACAGGTTCAAAAAATTTGTTTCGTAGCAGTAAATGGTGGCGGTTTGTAACTGTGGGCCCTCAAGGCGCGGGGCCCCTCTTTTACTTCAAAAGAAAAGAAAAAAAACAGGTAAAGAAAAAGGAAAAAGAAAACTGGGGCAGGTTTTTTGATAGTTTTTATTTAAAATTATCAAATTTTTCCAAACATAATCCCACAACTT